TCCTCTATTAACTGGACTCATGATAACAAAGGCTTTTTCTATAGTCGCTATCCAGCTCCCAAGTAAGTAACAAGATGTTTTGATCATATTTTGCAGCTTCTATGTCTAAGAAGTTCTGGAAGAAAGTAAGGTGTTGCTTTATTGTTCTGTTGTAATGAAAATTTTAGGAAGTTAATTAAGGAAAATGCCTGAGTTTTCAAATCCTGACTGTAAATGAGCAATAAGCTTTTAGGACTAGAACAATGACGACAAGAATTATTAACATTATGAATTTGAACTAACATCGAGTTGTATTAGATTTTTATATTTAAAAGCAGACAATTGTATTTTTATTGTGTAGAGAGGGAGAGAACATAGATGCTGGGACAGAAACCAATACAAACCTTTATCATGAGCTTTACTATCATTTCTTGGGTACGGATCAATCAGAAGATATTTTATGCTGGAGAGATTCTGAAAATCCAAAGTTCATCTTTCGGGGCTCTGTTACAGATGACGGAAAGGTTAGTTTATATTTATGAATTTATCTATATGTTTTAAAGTACAATTTAATGGCATTTTTGTTAGTATTTATTCTCCATTTATTGGTACTCAGTAGTATGGGCTATGGGGGTATCATTGTGCATTACAGCATAGATATAGAGCAATGCACATAAGGTGATTTCATGATGGTTTTTCTTGTTTAATTTGGAAATTTAATGGTTTCAATGCTTTATAATTTATAACGATTTTTTGAAATTTTAATTTTCCAATGATGGTTGTTCTTTAATTGCATTGCACAAGTCACTTTTTTTGTATATGTTGGCTATATTGATATCTCATGTCCCAGAATGTTGATTAATTTTTGCAGAATTCCCTTTTTTTTCCCTAAAATTTGATTTGAATTAATCCAACATTTTATGTCACTGTACAGTACCTTCTCTTGTATATCTCGGAGAATTGTGACCCAGTTAACAAAGTATACTACTGCAACATGTCTGCACTTTCTGAAGGTCTTCAAGGTTTTAGGGGAAAAGATTTCCTGCTCCCATTTGTTAAGCTGGTAGATCAATTTGATGCACTGTATACAGCAATTGCAAATGATGACACATTATTTACTTTCCGGACTAATAAAGGTGCCCCAAGATATAAATTAGTCCATGTTGATCTAAAGGAACCAAGTAATTGGATTGATGTTATCCCAGAGTCTGAAAAAGATGTCCTTAAATCGGCAAATGCTGTTAATGGTAATAAGATGATTGTGAATTATCTAAGCGATGTGAAGTATGTGCTTCAGATAAGGGATTTAGAAACAGGTTCATTTCTGCATCAGTTACCACTTGACATTGGGACAGTTTATGAGATTACTGCTAGGCGTGAAGATGATATGTTTTTTATTTATTTTTCAAGCTTCCTTACTCCTGGTATTATATATCAGTGCAACTTAGGAGCTGGGGTTCCAGATATGAAGATATTCCGTGAAATTTCTGTACCTGGATTTGATCGCACAGAATTTGATGTCAATCAGGTATATTACTGCTGCTTTTTTCAGAGTTTGGTGACATCAGGCTTTTGATCAGGTTGCAGTGCATTCATCATTTTTCTGTTTCCAAAAACCAGGTTTTTGTCCCCAGTAAGGATGGTACCAAAATCCCAATGTTCATTGTGGGCAGAAAGAATGTTGATTTGGATGGATCACACCCTTGTTTATTATGTGGATATGGTGGATTTAACATCAGTAGCACACCATCATTCAGTGTCTCTCGCATTGTACTAGCTAGGCATTTAGGTGCCTTTTTCTGTATTGCAAACATTCGTGGTGGGGGAGAGTATGGAGAAGAATGGCATAAAGCAGGTTCACTTTCCAAGAAGCAAAATGTATTTGATGATTTCATTTCTGC